TTTTTTTTTGGAAAAATTAATCCTATTAATTGAATTACTTACCATACAAGTATTTTTAGTTATGGCTTGACGCATTTTATCTAGATTAACTTCACGTGTTTGAGGATTTAATGGAATACGTCTTAATTTTATTTTAAAATAAGAACAAGCCTAGAATAATTAGTTTTTTTTATCAAGAAATTTTCCATTGAATTTAATATACTTTATTAAATGCTGGATGTGCTGTTGTTGGCATGATACTAAAATATTGATATCATATAACTAATTAAAATAATATTTTATTATGATACAATGAACATTTATCATTAGAGCATAGAAAATTCATGTTATTAACCTTTTAAACTAACGAAGACATTTTTTCTTTTCATACTAAATTAGTTTATTCATTCAGAAAAGATGTGTCAATTCGAAAAGCCTAAAGTAATCTTACAATGGATCAATTATCTAATATAAAAGACATTCTCTCTTGCGTTCTATCGTTTTTCTTTTTCTTCTTCTTCTTCTTCTTTTTTAATCCTATTGTATTGATGATGAATCCATTTGCATTGATTATGGTTTCTTATTGAGCTCGGTCTCTTTGGAATGTCTTCTTTTTGTTCCATATTTATTAAGTTAATCAGTAGCTCGTCGTTATTCATTGTGATCATCATCATCATCGTACTTATAACACTCACTATTTACTCAGCATTCTATGGATTCTTTTTCTCGCATAGAAGAATTTAAGTCGTCATGCTTTTTTCAATCGTTCATAGAGTGACCGACAGACACAAATAAATGACACATACATATATAGATCTAATGTTGACAAAGCCCAATAGCCATTTATATTTCATACGTTTATAGTTCGAATACACGCATGAATCTGATTGATTGACATACGCGTGATTCTTTATTCTTATATGCACTCTCTCCTCTTCACTAAAATATATATATATCAAAAGTAAGAGTTTCAATAAAAAATAGTGACTATGCATTCTAAAGAACGAGAGAAAAGAAAGAGTTACTTTATTGGTGCCTTACTACATAGTACACTTGAGTACTCAGCCGTTCGCAGTAAAAAGGTCTAGTTCATTGATTACATTAACAAAAAGAAAGTAAGTAAGTAGAAAAGAATATATAATCAGAAATTAACTTAATTTGTTATTACAAAGACAATTTTTCTTATTTTATATATCATCAAATAGTGCAAATACTAGTCGACATAACTTGTAAATTACTGCAAGCAATCATGCAGATTATATATACATATATGTGTTTATTTGCATATTTAAATAGTAGAGATAAAGATAAGATAAGAAGTATGATCTATCATATTAGTAATGGATATCTATCTCTAACAGTATCATTACACAGGTGTTAGTCAGATGTATAAGAATACTGTGTTTTCTTCTTCTTCAACAAAAAATGCAAAAGAAGCAAATGTTGATCGTAATCTAATATGACAGAAAATGACTACCTCGTCAAACACATGTTACTAATAAAAATAGATAGAGATACAATAGGGATTTATAGTATACAATGGCATTAGCTTGATATATAAAACAAGGTAATACACATCAATAGAGAAGGTGACGAATAAAATTGTTTAGTGCAAGAATAATAATATACGTATATATAAAAGAAACAATGAAAGTGTCAGTGTCTACTGCTTATTATATTGATTTCTTTCTCTATTTTGTATTCATGTAGACACTATTGAAAAGTGATTATGACATTTTTTTTCTCTCTCTTCATTTTAATACAGGATAAAAAAAATGATATGTTCTGTTTTGCGGATGCACGATCTAATTCAAAGTCATTTCTTTTTTGTGTATTCTATATGAAGAACAGATACGTGCACATGCATGAGCTCTATCAACGGAAATTAGAGCATGCACATTTAATTGCAGTCTCGTTAGTTACCATGGACCGCGTGACTGCTTCTTGTCAAGGCAAGAAATCTTGCTCGCATACATATAGACAATGTCGTTCGAATGCGATTAATGACAAAAAAATAGAAAGATACAGACAACGTTCTTTTCTTCTTCTTCTTCTTCTTCTTCTCTCTCTTGCTTTTTTTTAATTCGGCTTGAATCAACTACATTAGTTCGATGAACGAGATAGAGCAAGTTCCGGAGAGATTTCATGCCTATAGTGCGTGTTCTGTTGCATTTAATCGATCTTATAAAGGCGTAAGCAAGATATTGGCGCGTGTTTGTCACACAAACATTTCTCTTCGACAAAGATAGAGAGTGCAAGCAAAAGAACACTAGCAATGACTATCCGTAATTGAATCGAGAAACACGCGAGAAATGAGGAAAAAAAATTTCTTTTTTTCTTTTTTTTTTTTCATTAGATGATGGTCTCGACAGGTATAGTCTCGAGGTAGAATTTTTATTTATTTTTCTTTCAAGTATGAAGAAGACTCTTTATATAGAACATAATTCAAGATTTCTTCGTTTACTCTCAAGTACTAATCGAGAAAAGTACTCGGAAACACTCGTAGATAAATATGCATCTGTTAAAATCGACATGCCGGTCTTCTCTTCTGCAATCGTTCACTTTTTCTCTAATGCTCTTAATATTACAGCTATATAAGATCTAAGCCAAAAATTACTTAGTACGTATATATTATCATCGGTTAATCGTTTGATATCTTTTAACAACACAACAATAGTATTGTTTCATCGAGAAAAAGTGAAGTGACCATTCCTTTTTCCGTCGGCTAGTCATGTCATCCGTTTTACTCTTCATACGCTAGACATACTTTGTTCTAGAAGTTGAAAAAAAGAAAGAATAGAATCACAACATCATTGGCCTCGTTTTAAGGTTATATTTCGAATGATTCCACAACTGTTAACGATAATGCCACAATAAATTGATATTTAGTTTTGTTGACAGCAACTAAACATCATCAATCATGAGTAGAAAACGTGAGTCAAAGATTTATTTAAATAGAGAAAATGTCGAGCTAAAATAACACTATTACGATGATGAAAGAACAAAGGAAAAAAAGTGAATTCATTAGTATCTTTTTTTTATGCGCATGTATGCGAGTGATCGAATCAATATGTACATCATTTGAAAGTCAAGTACATCTACGTGATTTCGTTATCATATTTTAACTATATAACATTTGGTATCACTCTCATCATTATATCGCCATTCTTTTCAGCTGATTTGAGCTATTAACTCTATTTACTGGTCATTTCTTTTTTTTCTCTCTCCCTAAGGATATATACATATGTCGTAGAAACTCAATTTCCTTGTCAGTTACTTTTTTCTTTCAATTTTGATTAGCATAAATGTTCATCTAATATAAAATAAACGAAAAACTAAATCAGACTAGACAATATAAGTTAAGTAAAAGGGAAATGTCATAGATTATATACTTCCGTATTGAGTTGAACCCCTTAAGGTAGAAGAAAAAAACTTTACTATTCTTCTTCTTCTTCTTTTATTGAGGTCAATCTCGATGTCCATACGATGAAAGAAGGAGAGAAAGAAAGAGTAATAATAACAATACAATTCTATTGTTGATAAATACGGCTAAATAACTCTTCTCTTTTAATACATTTTCTTCTTTTCATTATTATTATATTCAATTGCATTTACACTTATTATATCTTTTGTAATTGGATCATAGCTTATAGTTGATCTCTCTCTCTTTTTTTTCTATTATTTATTTATGTTAAACGGTCAATATGTGTATTCAACTCTTACTAATAATATATTCGTCACTTCAGATCAAATATAACCTAATTGATTATACATAGTGTAATGTTATAAAATATTTTCTTTTCAATATAACCATTCGCTTCTAGACATAATACTATTTTTTTTTCTTCTTCTTCTATTTTGTTTTTCTTATTCATAATCTCCCAGTCATATTAAGAGGTAAAGATAACTCGACTTTGATTGATGACAAAACGTTGAGAATTAGATCGATCATTACCAGAAGCCTAGAAAGCACAGAAGCATTTGTCTTTCTTTCTTTCTACGATATATATATATATATGCTTGCGAGAAAAGTTTTGTTGTTTTATAATTATCTATATAAACAAATTTTTTGTATCTATCTCTTTTAGAAAAATCAATCGAGTATGAAACGAATAACATCAAGAAATCTAAGAATTTATCGAATATCTTCTATTAATAACAAGTGTATATAAAAAAATTAAACTAGCGTAAGTAATCAATATATGTCTACGCGAGAATAAATTGTGCTGAAAAATCTAAATAATTATTTATTTTTAGAATTATTCATGGAATGGATTTTTCTACAATAAATCTGTTTATTATTATTCTTTTTTTTCTATTCATTGATTATTCATTATTTATTAATGCGTCTGATATACAATGTTTAACATGTGACAATTTCATTGATGGACCTGGTTGTGGTGAATTTACACGACAAATACCAGTGCGAACATGTCAAACATATTGTTATTTTGCTATTATACATAATCGTTCGTTATCATCATCTATATATCAACGCGAATTTCCATCAAATAAAATCACACGAGCAATACGTGATTGTTCACCTTATGATGATATGTCAATTGAAGGAAATTTATTACTTAAATCAAAAATTAGTTCATTGTCATCTATTGATATTATACTGATAAGACGTTGTAACAGTGAACAATGTAATAATGATTTTTATGTAAAACCAGATGAATTAATTTTAAGTAGAAGTTCATCCTATCGGCAAATATCATTTCCATTTTTGTTTTTTCTTTTTGTGATTATTTTTTATTATTCAACGAGCATGTTTTGAAAAGAAAATACTAAAATGTTGATTTCATTCAATATTATGAATACGTTTACAATTATAGGGAATCTGACGGATGAAACCAGATGTATACATTAACTTAATCATCGTCATTAGGGATATTTCTATTCTATAATATATGTTAATCAGTAAGACAAAATGTCTATGCATATAGTCGGTATACTCGAAATGGTTAGGAGGAAATATAAAAATATTTAACCGTAATTTTGATATAGATGTACTTACATTTCAGGTTTAGTAATGCCCTTTGAAAGAGCGAAATCACGATAAGTTTTACATGCCATTAATAATGATTCTGTACCACCGGATGTCATCTAAAGAACGTAAAAAATGAAGATATGATTATGATTATAGAATAATTAAAATAGCAGACCGTTCCACAAACGTTTTCATCACCATGAAACATTGTTGCTACACAACGAACAACTTCAGCTTCCATTGTTCGAATATCAGGAAAAACATCGACATGAAGAGGATTTGAATCCCCAAATAAATTAAAAATCTATAGATAAATATTTAGTTTATAGGAATTATAATATTATAATTAGACGTAATACTTGATGATAGACAGCAGTCATATCTGATTTTGGTAATTTATAAACACATCCAGATACTTGTCCTGATTTAACATCAGTTTTTTCAAAACTATGATATCTTTCAAGTTTATGCATAAGTTCATCCTAGAAAAGAAAATCTATAAATATCGATTAGTTAATCAAACTTATACCTTTGAAAGTCCTTTTTCTGGTAAAGCTAAAGAAAACGTATGACCTGCAACACTCTTTGCTATATCATTACAAATTGATGTTAATGTTTCGTCACGTGCTTTAGCTATTTGACGTTGTACAGAAGGTAATCGACGAACCAAACGAAATATTGTTTCTTGAATACGTTTAGAAATGTCTATAATAAATTAAATCTTTTTTCCGATAAAATCGACTTGGAATTAATTGATTTCTATCTTAGAAATTAGATAGAGATTATTCAAGATATAATAACTCTGAAGGTCACATATAAATAAACTTCCATTTACTATCAAAAGGTTAGTTCTAATATTCTATTGTTTAATAGAATTAAAAGGATAACTTTATCAGTAGCTGTTTAATAAACTTACCTTCATCATTAACAAATAAAAACCGATAAATGCTTATACTAAATGTTGTGACTAGGGTAGTAATTGTAATTAATTGTAATGGTGATAATGAATTCCTTAATTCTTCATTTAATAAACGAATTTTTTCTTTTAACAAACTCATTTGTAGTTTGTATTTTAAATAAAAAATATTATCTACAATTAATAAATAAAATAAATTACTTATCTACAAAATATATTTCGAGTTTAGTTCGTATTAGATAATCGAAATCGATTATATTTTAATACTCTTACACGAAGAATCAGGTTGCTTTGGTCAGAAATCGTTTTTCTATCGCTTAGTTACATTTATAGTTTACAAATTTGAGTGAAAGTTAATCTTTCTGTTTGCCCTTGAAAACAAACTATGTTCGATGAATGATTCAATCGATAAATATCATATGATCAAATGATTCTATAAATAAAAATATGTCGATTGGACAGGTGTGTATGTTATACTAATTTCTCAAATTTTGAAAGACTTGAGGTCGCTACTGAGCAGATTCAGATGACTGTGTTTGATGAGAAGTATATAATATTAAAGTTGTAAAAAAAAAATTATGACCTCATATCTGTTCGTGACAAAACTGCTTCATCATTTCTTCTCTTGGTTACGCTTCAGCGAACGAAGAATTAGTTTTGATTAATGTATCAATATATTTTTATTCAACGTGACATATGCACAATTTTATCTTTGAATATTTCTTGTTACATTCGTCTGATCAGTATAGCTGCAAGTGTATTATGTAAATATGCAGTTATTATTTCAACATACTAATACATATCGATGACTAGTCTGAATGATAACGAATTTGCTTATGTAATATCTAACGATATATTTATTTCTACATATGTGTACTTTCTTCATAATTCAATATTTTTGAAATTCTACATTTGAAAAACCACTTTTCATATTAATAATCGAGATAAGTACGTGATAGAATATGCACTCGTGTTATTATGTTATTTAGAAAGATAAATATCAATGTAGTATTTATTAACTGTCAAATTAATGTGATTAAATGTTATAGAATATTATTTGATAATGTATGAGTAATCTCATTTAGCATTATATTTAAACGAATAATATAGTTACCCTACTGGCCGTGTAATACTCTCCACGGCTTCAATACTTTTCATCACAGATAGACCTTCAAAAACTGTGATCGTCAACTCTATTGATTGAGATAGTATGCAGTTAAAGTGCGTATGAGTATGTGTTCATTATTAGATTCATTCTTTCGATAAATTATTTTTTTATTTCATGTATTTTTAAGTGCTTGTTTAACACACTACAAAAAAAAATAGTAATAAATTATAAAAAAGAAACTGTTCTTCTCGCTCACATAGATTTTGTTCGACTGATTAAATCATTTCATATCATATACAATTTTCAAAAAAAAATTTCTCACATACAAACCTATATGAAATTATTTTATTTATCTTTAATGCAACAATAGATAAGTTTTGGTTCTAAACTTGCATAAATTTGTTGTGTTGTTTGTATACGAAGAAATTTACAAAGTAAATTAAATTGTTTTTGTTGTATTTGTGTATAAGGTTTAAATATCTTTTTAGGTGATGAACAAGCAATAAGCCCTTGACAAAGTTCATTAAGCAACAAATGAATATTTTCAGATAATTGTGGTTGTGATTTTTGTATTGATAATTTCGATGAATTTATATTCGATAGTAAATAACATTGTCGTTCCAATATTAATAATAATTCAATTAAAATAGTTACAGAATGAGAAGTTGTAAATAATATTGGATCGGAAAATGGACTTGATGATGGAGCTAAAGAAAAAGTTAGAAGCATATTTTTTTTACATGAAAAATAGAATAAGAACAAAAGATCTGTCGGTTCTATTCGCTACTCGAAAAAAATTCAGATGATACTATCAAGGGAACCTCACCAACTGTTCAATCGCTTGTTTAATAAAAACCATTAGGGTTATCAACCATGCTGATTCCGAATATGAGTATGAAAAGTGCCCTCACACCTTTATAGAATGGTCTTGTAGAAAACTGATTTCCAAAAACCACATACTTTTTACTACCTAGACAGACATAATCTCTAAAAAACGCGTTCAAACAGCGTTTCAACGGTAGGCCATTGTATAACCGGCGTTTTTACGTATTTTTTTGAAGATTATGTCTATGTGGGTAGTAAAAAGTATGTGATTTTTGGAAACCGGTTTTCTACAAGATCATTCTCAAAAACTAACGTCAGATTCGTGTTTATCCACTCCGACTACTCTTCGGTCAACCCTTACAAAAAAAATTCAAAAATCTAACATAAGATTCGTGTTTCTCGATTTAGATTAGTCTTCGATCAATCAGTGAAGTGTAGACACACAAGTAAGCTATCAGACAGACAATTGATGCTTGCAAGACTCTTCTCTACGAGAAAGAGAATACATACCAGTATCAAATTCAAGAATTTTTGGTTTGATTTTTTCATTATAATAAATGTATACTTGAGTTAATAATTGTTCAAATGATGTTTTTTTTAAATCGATTTGTTGTTGTATAAGACTAATTATATTCATAACACTACGGTCAATATGAAATGATGTTGGCGATTGACGTATCATATAAGATAATGATCCATAAAGACGTATAAGTATTAGTTCAAGATGATTTGTTGTTGATGCAATTAAATGTGAATATAAACGTTCGAGTATAATTTGACCTTTAATAAATTGACCAAACATATCAGCAAATAAATAATTCGGATGATTTAAATATCGATCAATAATTGAATCAAGTAATTGTTTTGATGACATAACAGTTGTTGATATGTTCTTATCAAGATATAAAATATCTCGATAGATATTTTCAATATGTAATAAGACTCCTAAATGATATTTATCATGTGTAATTGCATTTGATCGTATTCCTACTGAAAATTGATCTAGAAAATTTTAAATTAATAATAGTTTTTAAAATACAATGAAATTACCATCAAGACGAAGAGTATATCTTGGATGACGAGGAGTTGCTATCGATTGTTTACCAAATTGTGTTGATACTGGAGATACATATGGTAGCGTTTGCGTGGGATTTACATTACTAAATGCTCCCAATGTATATGTTTGTGATATACGTTGAGAAAGTCTAAAGATAAAAAAGAACTTCAATTGAAATATGTTATTCATCAAATAACATACTCTTTTTCTTGTTCAATTGATTTTAATAATTGAAATACTGGATAGCTAATATTTTGTTCTCGTTGATGATGACGTTTCGATTGATTATTATGTTTTTGTTTTGACCATTGATGAAAATAATAATCCTAAGAAAATAAAATTTCGATTTGTTTTTATTTAAAAAATAAATCTAATACTTCGTCTTCGGTTTGTGATACTTGATGAAGTTGAATTTTAACAACCCATTGTTTTTCACGATCACTCATCATACCAGCAAATGCATCATAATTAAGACCACGTCCTTGCCATGTATTAAGAATTGGTGGTCGTGGATAATATTTTATTGATCGATTGTGTCGTATTCGTTCATGATGAGAAGATGATAATGATGGTGATGAACTAACAGCTGTATGAATTGGAGATGATAATGATTGATTAGTTCGATGCTGTTGTTTATCAACAATAGAAATTTGATCAGATCGTTGAATTGCATCCATCAATTGAGATGACATTCCACTATTACCAAAAGATGGTGATTGTGAACGCGAATTATTAATATTCATAGGTGTTAAATGAATTTCGTCTTTCAATTCATCAGTTGCCAATGGAAATATATCTTCATTTCGTTGTGTATTGAATATATCACGTTTTATTGATTGATTCATTAATATTTCTTCGAATTGTTTTAAATAATAATTTATTTGTTGTGAATCTTGAAATTGTGGAAGAAATATATTTTCATATTTTGCTTGTGTTATAGCCATATCAAATAATGGATTGATTGTTGATTGTTGAAAACCCGTGGACATAGATGATACACGTTGTAATGAATCTTCACCAAGTAAAGCATCAATCGATGGTTGTTGTGATTGATCATCAATATCTTCTATTGTTGATAATTCTGTATCAAAAAAATCCGGTAAATTATTACCAAGAAATTGGCCATTTTCATCAAAATCAGATTTTATTTTAATTTCATCGAAATCACAATTACCAAATGTTTCATCATTTAATATATCTACTTCTGTTTCATCGAATTTTGTATTAAAATTATTCACCGGAGATTTTTGTGGTTTATTTAATGTTGAAGCATCAGTAGAGAATATGTGATTATGCCCACTCATAATAGTACAATAGAAAAATATACATATATACTCTAAAAATAGTACTAAGACAGTAAATTCATATAGTAAAACTAATGGGAAAAAAAGAACATTGGAATGATTGGTTGAAATATTGAGAAATAAAATTGAGTTTTAATGAATTCAAGAATATATAGAATGTATTTGAAAAATATTTTCGAATACGAAATAATATTCTTATACGTTATGTAATGATAAAATCAAAAATATTATTAGTGACATCTATAAACGAAAAAAATATAGAATATCGATCTTATGCTTATTATATACTATACATATTTGTAAAGTCCCTTAATTTTAATAAGTAACTCTCACATGAGGAAGAAAATTGTTTTCAAGCATAAAGAAAAAACAAAAATATTCAGAATATCAAGAACTATATATCGTTCTAATCAACCAGTTCTTTATTTTTCGTATAATCCATTCTTAAATCTAAGCAAATTTATTGTTTAGTACTGAAGAAAATATTAATCTTGATAAATTAGTTTTAATTAAGTTCGAATTTATGATTAAAAAAGACTTTTAGAATTAACAATAGATTAGACATGATTTTTAAATATGTTGACAATTGTATCTTAATTAATTTCAGTGCATAACTAAGTATATGATATACCTATTCAAAATTGAGAGAAGATAATCTTTTTTTAG